ATCGGAAGATTCTCTCCAGGACCGAGCTCTCTGTGATCTTCCGTGCTCGCGATCCGTCCCCTCCCCCAAAAAATCTCCTCTTTAACTCTGTTGAGTTTGTTGCTATTTATAAGAAGATTAGGGGTGTAACTGTCCCCTTAATCAGCTCCTAAATGATAGGATTAGTTGCCTCATTAATCGGTTGTAACAACCCACTAAAACCACTCCCCAGATCGTGGGTAATCAGTGGTAACCGCATGGGTTGCGTTTGACCGAGTCAGAAGCTTGACCTGCGTCCTGACGTTGATTCTGTGTTTTGAACGCAGCATCTGAAAGTGCGTTCTGCAGCGATATTGAGCTGCGTTCGGACTGATTGTTGAAGCTGCGTTTGAACAAATGTTTGAACTGCGTCGGGCAGCGATTGGAGCTGCGTTGGGCAGCGGTTGATAAGCTGCGTTGGGCAGCGGTTGATAAGCTGCGTTGGGCAGCTTGGCCAGCGGTTGATAAGCTGCGTTGGGCAGCGGTTGATAAGCTGCGTTCGAGTGTGCTTTAGCAACGATTGGAGGGCTAGCTTCGAGCTGTTGATTAGATGTTCTCTGTCATTATATATATGGATGGACAGCAAAAGACAGTAAAGAACGGTCTTATTCAGGGCCATTTGTGACAATTGAGGCTCTCAATACGCTTTATCAACTGGCAGGTCATGATCTCCACTGAGGTGTGTCGAACTATCCATTACAATCTGCTCATCAAGCACGCTGCTATGTTGTACATGATATCAGTCATGTTGTTGTCCGCAGCCATTCAAAGATCAATCATCTCACATAAGAAACTGCATTCGTGTTTATAACTGTTGAAGCGGCGTAGGTGATCAAATTGGTGTTGTGTCTTGAAGATGGTACGCAGAGAGGGTTTCCACGTCTTGGTTTGAAGAGATCGTCAATTTGTAATCCTTGCTGTCAGAATATTGCTAAAGACTGTTATTTTGTAATTTTTGCTTTAACTCTTTGACATGTGAAAATCTTCGAATTGTAGCCTTCTGGAAGTCGTCAGATTGTAACTTCCATCATCAGTGTTCGATGGAGACTCAGCTATCCATTGTGATTTTTAGACAGCCTACAACCCCCACGACCACGACCACGACCTCCCGCGGTTGACTGGGACGAATTTTCGGAATACTTTGTCGGGTCTCTCCCCTAGATCCAGTGTTGCTAGAGGCTGTCAGTGCTGACTTCACCACAGGAAGTCCACATGTCCCCGCCTGTAGCCGAATGCGAGTCTCCTCCTGGATCATAGCAGAGACAGCCTCCTCAAGCGTGGGAATCTTTGGCTGAGCTAGCAGCAATGCGATTCGCTGAGCGAACTCTGATGTCAATCCCTTGAGAAACACCATAGTCCTCTCCTGTAGAAAGGCCTCCCGCTCTTTACATCCGGGGTCCTTGCAGCTAGCCCGGGGGGGAAAATGATCATAATCCAGCCATAGGCGCTCCAACTCTGTAGCATATTCCTGTACAGTCCTCTCTCCTTGGACTGTGGCGTCGATCTCTCCTTTAACCTGGAATACCCTCAGGTTATTCCCCACTCCATCATATGTCCTCCTCAACTTCTCCCAGACGTCCTTCACCTTCTCAATGCCATCCACCGTGGCGGCGATCGTCGGGACCAACGAGTTGAGAAGCCAGATGTACACCAACATATGAGTGGACTTCCACTCATCTCTTCCCTCTGAGTCCTCCTCCGGCTCTGTCACCTCTCCTGTCAGATAACCCTCCAGATTCCTCCCTGCAAGGGTATATCTCACCCGTCGTGACCAGCTCAGGTACGTACTAGGTCCATCCAGCTTCAGATCGATGGTCGGAAGCTCCAACTTCTTCGATGGTTTTGTCGCGCTCTCACCAGCCGACAACTTCATTAGCTTCATCAAAGTTGACACCTCCGCAGGGTTCAACTTCTTGATGATCTCCTCCATCGAATAGGCTTCAGACCCACCACCTGTTCACCTTCTCTTCCGACCCTTGTGTGCAGTAAAAATTTCGGCAGCACCTCCGTTGCACACCAAGAGTAGGATCTCAAACAAATTCTTGTTTCTCAGAGGAAACAAGAACCAAAAACAGTTATATATCTCATCGCTGTGAGATATATACTCTTCCTGTCATCAGTTCGAGGACTGAGTCGAGGGAATCCATGTCAAACTCGAGGTTCGACACGGTGATGGCAACCGGGGACGGGTGGGGTGATCGAATTGAGGGGGGGGGGCTGATGCGGAATTGAAGGGGCTGCCGGGAGGGTGGGGGGCTGCTGCGAGGGGAGGGGTGCTCGTTGGGGGCTGCCGTGGGGTGGGGGGCTGCCGTTTTTGGGTGTTGTGGGGCTGCTGCGAGGGGCCGGTGCTTGCTGTGGGGGGGGGGGGGGGCTGCTGTGGGGGGTGCGGGGGCTCTGTGGGGTGGGGGGGCTGCAAAGGGGGTCGGGGGGCTGATCGGAACTGAAGGGGGGGGGGCTGCCGTGGGGGGTGGGGGGGGCTTGCAAGGGGGGGTGGCTGTGGGGAGTGACGGGTGCTGGGCTGTGGGGGTGGGCTGGCCGTGGGGGTGAGGGGCTGTGTGCGGTGGGGGCTGCTGCTGCGAGGGGGGGCTGTCGTGGAAGGGTGGGGTGATGTCCGGTGGGGGAAGTGGCCGGGTGAGGGGGGGGCCATGCCGGTGGGGGGGGAGTACGGCGGCTAGGGTTTGGAGAAGGCTCTGATACCAAGTTGAAATAGAAACCCTAATTCATTATGAGATCTCTTGGGCTTTATATAGGCCCCGTACACAACTTACAAATAAGTCCTAACTAATACTAATATGTCAACAATATATATGAGAAATATGGGTATGCTTGGTACCAAGCACAAATTTTGTGCTTGATAGTGATGTGTCACATCCCCATCCATTCACTACCCATGTGAATTTGTTTCCACATTTGAATGAGTGGAAACAATTGTTTCAAAAGACGGATGTGAAGTGTAAGATCTACATCTAGGAAGTCTTTGACAAGTGTTTTAAATTAACACATATATTGTATAATTGAGTACATGTTGTAATAAATGCAACAATATACGTATAGATCCTAGCTAATATATTTTTATTTTAGGATTTATCTAATGTTCTTTTTAAGTTAAAGAGGGTTTTCTTTTTCTAAACTATGAATTATGCAAAAAAAATAACTCATGGGCGAGCACAGTGTTTGATGGATATACGGTACAGTAGTTGGGTATCACACATTATTCAGAAAGACTTCGAGTTCAGAAAATAAAGATCAAAATATATTGATAGTGTAACTCATAAATGCCCAAGTGTCATCAAATAGAAAATCTTTACACTGTGTTCAGAAGCATAGAGTGTGCTGCATTAAAATTGCATCTTTACAAGAGGAATCACATAGATGAAAAGTAAAGTAGACAAATGCAGTGACGAGAAGGAAAACTAAGTCACCTCAACTAGCGCAAGAGTATCAAGGTTAGGAGATAATGTTGGCTTAACACCTTTTGCTGCATAAACTTCATCTGGTGTCCTGTTGCAAAGGAGGAAGGAGGTGCATCATTCATGGAAAACCAAGTACCCATAATATAATAACGCTTTAAATCAGCAGCGTGAAGTAATTCTTATGAACTAAGAAAGCCAAACATATTCATCTAATAAAGATTCACATTCAGAATTAGAAGCAGCAGATGAAAATATATAGAATACCTGGCTAAAACAGGTCTGGGAGTAAGTCTATCATCAGGATCACTGCAGACACAAAATAAAAATTATAGTTCATATAAAGAGAGTAAACTACCAGAAGAAAAACATCTCGTCTTTGGTCAGTATCTCTCAGTTGTGATTACCTCTGAACGCAAATAACAGCTTCAACCAAATTTGCTTTCAGCATTTCTACTGCAATAGTTGTTACAATCCCTGTCCACTGAGCTCCTAAAAATAAAATGAAACTGTAGTAATCATTGTGATAACTAGAAAATGAAAAGTTTTAGCCTTGATCATATAGCTAACTACAAGATAACAAAAAATTAAGCACAAACTTGAATTTTATTAATAGATAAGTAACATTAAAAAAAGATAAGTAACATATAGTCAGCCTTTTGTTACTTCCTTTTAACAATGCAACAAGAACCTCAAGGAAATTACGAATTAGGGCTTGGACATAGCGAGTAGCAGGATACATTTGCAAGTATGAAGGCCTCGGGGTTCATAGATAGATAAGTTGCTGGTTTATGCCACTTTAACCAATTCTCTTTATACATTCTTTTTTCTTCGCCACCCTTGAAAAAAGAGAGAGTTCATACTCAACAAACAACCAAAAGAAGGAGATATTTAGGGAGACACATAAAAAACACAGAATCAAATGTTTTAACCCCTCTCCACCCTTAATCCAAGCAAATAGCTCCACCCACTTCAGGATTGAAGATTCCGGCATTGCTAGAAATGGGAGGTCAAGTCCAAACATCAAACAGAACGTATTAACTTATCAAGAAATAGCGAAGTCAAATAGTTAGGATCTCTAAACTTATATCCAAAGCAACTCCTGCATGTGTTGTCCTTGTTTGCCACCTCTGCATTTGGAATACGGAACAAAAGTGTTTTGGAATGTACTCGGATGACAGAATGAGAGTGTGCTCTGGAATAAACTCAGAGACACAGACATCCTTCATCACTTGATTGTGTGTTCATCTTCCTTCTCATATTATAACATCACATTACACCAGAGTACACGGTGAGCAATTTGATAACTTGATTCAGGAGCCTATACTGGTTTGTCTCATCTTCTGATTTTTCCTCCTACTCTTTCCTATCGTACTTCTCCAACTTATTCACCTTTCTCTTCATGTAAACTTCGTATCAATTTTGCCCTATTAATAAGATACAGGCATCTATGTCGGCGCAATGCACAGAAGTAAAGAGAGGCTCCTTAAAAGAAAATTGCTCAGCTGAATTATGATGTTTTCTAGATTCCAACCATTATATCATATAGCCAAGAGAAATTATGATCATGTAATGCGCTATATCAAATTATTGTGACAACGAACTCACCTTCTACAGGCTTAGTCTTTCTACCATACAGCAACTCTTGATGCACACCGAAGTACATCTCATCAGAATTTGCTTCCCTTCCCCTTCCATGTACTCTCGGCTCCAATTCCTAATATTATCAATTTATAACAATAATAACTAATATGAAAAATAATAAAGACCAATTAAAAACTAAAATTTTCAATTATCAAAAGAAAAATGTCACCTCGATTCTGGACATGCCATCTCCCAAGAAAGCACAAGCATTCTTGACATGAGCAATGTAGTAAGTATCACATAATCCACAGCGACTGTGAGAACATCGATCTCAGCAAACAAAAATAAAACCCTAATTTGAACAGAATTGCGAAAAAAGGGAAATTAGAATCAACCTGCACTGATCCTTAGCAGGATAGACGCCGCCGGGGCGAATAGGTTTCGATCGGCTCCTCCAATCATCTCGAATCTTGACTGAATTCGAGCTCTTCTCTGTAGAAACAAAAAAAAAATGAAAAAATTGAAAAATGGAAATTTTCAGTGTGAAGCTTGGGAAGAAACTAAATTTACGATTCGGGGGCGTTGAAGAGCATCGAACTGAGGAGGAGATGACGAACGAGGGCGGAGAGTTGAGAGTTGCAGCCATGGTCAGTAGAGCTCAAGCTAGTTCGCTCTCAGTGGAAGTGAGAGGATAAGGCGTTTTTCTTTTTTCCCCCGAAATTATTTAGGGAGGTTATTCACTGCTGTAATTTTGGGGATAATGGGATAATTTTTGGAACATTACTTTTTGATGTTATTTATTGGAGTAATGAAATTGGAGTCAACTTAGTGGTGTTATTGGTTTGTTAGGATAATTAGGGGACAAATACTCAACTTTCCCCTAAATTACACCAACTATATAAAGATCCCATCTACCTCTTCCTCATAATTATCCTAAATTTACCTCATCCTTCATATTGGAACAATGTTGTTCCGCTTTGAAGACAATTGGGATAATTTTAAAATATTTTTGTATTACTTAACTAATACATGCTAATTATATTATAAATATATGATATGATATATAAAATATAATATATATTAATATTTTCATAACAAAATTTAATAACATATATTAATAATATTATATAATAATAATTATAGTTAACATATTTATTATAATATTATATAATATTTTAATAATATATATTAATAATATTATGTAATATATTATTATATAATATTAATTAGTAATTATAGTATAACGTATTTATTATAATATTATATAATATTTTAATAACATATATTAACATTTTAATAACATATATTAATAATATATTCTCTTTTATAAGTAGTATAGATTATTGTAATTATCATGTAATATATATATGTTATATTATATTTTAATTTTAATATAAAATTTTAAAATATTACATTGAATAAAGTAAAATATTATAATATTTTATAAAGTACATTATATCCTATGATACTATATTATAATATATTAAATTAAATAATATATTATTAAAGTATTATATTATATATATTATTCATATATTATATTAATTATTATATAATGTAGCATACTAATATAATGTTAATTAGTAATTATTGTATAACATATTATATTTTTGTATAAATAAAATAATATATTATATTAAATATTATATTATTAAAATATTAAATTAAATATATTGATATTATATTATATTAATTATTATATATAGTATAGCATGCTAATATAATATAATATAATACAATATAATAATTAATAATAGTAATTTGTAAGTATAGTACAATATATTATATTTTAATATAAAGTAAAATAATATTTATATTATAATAATATACTAAATAATATACTAAACCAATTGGATAAGTTAATTTAGAAGTAATTAATAGATAAAATTATATTTTAATTAGGTGTCACATCATCAATTATCCCACATGAATTGTCAAATCAAATACTGAAATTATCTCATTATCCCACTTTACCCCACTCAAAATATCCCAAAGAGGTAAAATTGTTCCATTAGAACACTTTTTCCCCTTGGCCCGAATTTGTCCCAACCTAGGGGGGTTATTGGTTGGGATATTTGGGGGATAATGTGATAATTTTAGGGATTCTATTTCATAGTGTTATTGGTTGGGACAATGGAATAAGGATAATACATTTTTGTGTTATTGGTTTTTTGGAACACTAGTGAGACAATTACACCACTTGGGATAAAATTACCTTATTCATATATAAAATTTTGTCCAAATAGTAAAAATTTACCTCATCCTCCATATTAGAAGAATGTTGTTCCATTTTGAAGGCAATTAGGATAATTTTAAAATATTTTTTTATTACTTAACTAACACATGCAATTATATTATAAATATATGATATGATATATAAAATATAACATATATTACTATTTTAATGACATAATTTAATAACATATATTAATAATATTATATAATAGTAATTATAGTATAACGTATTTATTATAATATTATAATAACATATATATTATATTTTAATAACATTTATTAATAATATTATGTAATATATTTGTTATGGTCATTCACCGTAACAAAATAGAGGTACAGGAAGAATACTTGCATAAGCCCAAATGAGCTATGGTCCGAATCGACTTTAGAGGCTCAAAAGCATAGTCAGAGCCAAGCCCCTCGACTAGGCAAGCAGACAAGCCTTATTCCGACCGACGGGTCATCATGACTGACTCGAAGAACGGGATCAGTCGTTCCCTCGCAATTAAGACGACTCCTCGAGCAGACGACTCGATTACACGTCCGACCTGAAGTCCACTCGACTGTCGGGTCGGCAAATCATAATGATGGCTAGGATCAACCCGCCTCGACTAAAGGGATAAGATCTGACCGGGATCACTTCAAATGTCACTCGAACCTAGAACATTGACCAATCCCATCAAGATATACGCTCTGACGAGGATCTCCTGCACAAGCCGCTCGTTCCACTCACAAGTCATTTCCCAGAGAATCGCCATGATGCTTCTCTGCGCAACGAATGACTTCTCCTCCAATTCCCAGCTGCCACCTGGAGAGGGAGAAGGACGGCCACGCAGCCGACCTACCCTACACCCTGCCTACTCTAACAAACTCAGAGCACTGAGAAGACTTCTCTCCCCTGACACCGAGTGACTTCCCTCCCAGTCGCCTGCCGACACCTGGAGGAGGAAATATGACTCAGCAGCCTGCTTGTTCACCTTTCAAACCGCCTCCTGTGGATAGTCAACAAAAGCCGAGGGTCAAACTCCCAGAGGCAAAGGGGGGCTATAAAAGGAGGTAAGAAAGGTAAGGGCGGGGAGATCTCTGGTGACTTCTTCTTGCACCTTAGCTTCACTCCAGCTTTCGTATTTTTAATATTCCTAAGAGGAAAACCCCCTGCAATGATCTCAATGGCCCAGGGGCGTCCCAACAAACACTCCCCAAGTTCATCAACTGACTTGACCGTCGGAGGTACCACAGGGGAAACTAGCCCCGTACTCCTGCGATTCTTACATGTGCAGGCTGTCAGTCCACCCCGCGCGTTCAGAATTGGGCATAAAGTCGAAGGAGGAGCCGGCCCCCAACATTCATCCTCTTCTTCTTCCTCACTGTCGTCAGGATCGAAGCTGCATCCAACAGCGGGAAACCCCCATGAACTGTTTGTTTACGAGCATCAACAGTTTGGCGCCCACTGTGGGTTCTGCTTTCTTCTCTATGAAGAAATGCCCAATTCTAAGTCAGGGCCTGATATTGTTCATTCTTGAAGAGCACCGGAATTGCACCGTTCAAGCTAAACAAAGCCTGGAATCATATCATTCAAGCTAAGAAGGATTAACCTATGGCTATGAGGAGCCAATGTGGGTGTAACCCTTGGAGGCTCCAGCAGTTTTCTGGGAGTATTTGTCAAGTAGAACCTTAAAAGCCCTCCTAAGAAAAGACACAACACTATGGTGCTTGTCTGACTTGAGAATGAAGCGCGTGCTTCTAATCGCCGCCACAGTTGAAAAACCCCACCGCCTGGACAGCCAAGGGACCTGGGGTTGGATCGCAAACAGAACCTCCAGGGGTAATGATCAGATCCAGTATTGCTCAAGCTCCTGTCGGCAATGGCTCCCCCGAACCAGGAGCATCGATCAAGTCTGTGACAGGCCATTCGGACCATCATCACCTTCAAAGGAGAGTCCTTCCTCACCAAGGATGAGATTGCAGGGAAAACTCAAGGGCTTGCCATCTGGTCTTCTAAGGAAGATTAACAGCCCTGGCCCCCAGTCGTTGCTCAGAACCGCCAGAGTCGAAGTAAAACCTGGTGGTCGAAGCATGTGACTTGTACTCTCCCTGCAAGAAGGCTCCTCCATTTATAGGATGGTCTGGCCATCGTTATCCATGGAAACCTCAAGAGGAAAAATATGATCCCATCAAATTCTAGGGAACAAAGCGTCGGCATGTGGGGTTCTCTCCAATAAGAAGCCCCCATCACAAAAGTTGTCTGGGCCCGCTCCATCGAGCGACATCTTCCAAAAAGCTCAAACAACGGAATATTGGGCCTAACAGAGCAACCGATGGTGGACAAGCAATTTTTGTTGAAAATCACCGTGTCCACCATCGACCTGCAAGGATCTCAGTAAAGCCTCCAAGCAGGTCCTTGGCCGATGATATGGCAAATATGTCGGCAACTCAACAACGCCTAAAAGCAAACGGCTCACCATCAAGAGAAAGAGCAAACCCCGACTCTAGGCGTACCTCAGTTCGGTAATAAGGACAGCCAATGAAGCAACGACTCGCGTCAAGGCAAGAAGGTTCACAAACGAAAAGAAACAGCCAGGGAAGCTCCGTCTCGGTGACAGTATCCCTGGCCAAAAGCCGTCTCCAACATGCATATGGACAAGAAACATGGAGTCGGCGTCACTCGACGGGATAAATATGAATGAGTTTACTCTATCATGTATAAATTTTAATAATCAATGAAAATGTCAAAGACGAAAAGAAAGACATATCAAAGACCCAGTCAGCTGGGCACTCGGCTAAGTCGATAAAAGTCCTTGGTACCTTCTCAGGGTAAAACCAAGGTATAACCCCTTTTTTCTGCCAACTCTCACAGTCGACTCTTGGCCCTGGGGAAAACAAAGACCTTGGTACCTAATCTAGGTAAAACCAAGGCAAAACCACCCCTTGGTCGGTTACAAGACCTCGGCGCCGCCTCAGGATAGGCTCAACGCTCGACGACTTCTCAGTCAACAGTTTTGGCGCCACCTCAGGATAGGCCCAAGGCAAAACGACTCTATTTAGATTTGCATGGAAAGTCCTAGCATCATCCTCTTTTTCTTGGTCCTTCAGTGCCTCCGTCTCGTCTTTATTTCGGCTACGAGTTCAGACGAGATTTCTACGTCTATGCATTGCATCAGAATCACATCTTGGAGAGCGTTTGTTGGCTCTTCTATACTTTAGCACTTAAGATTTGATGGACATCTTAATCAAGTTTCTCCAATGGTGTAGAGTTGGCCCCATCAACCTTTTGGAGTTGCGACGACAATCACTTTTGCTTCCGGACATTGGCATATGCCTTTCGTATGCGAGTAGAGACTGATTATACTTTCGATTTGTCTGGTGGAGCTTGCTCTTTATTTCTTATTCTTATGATCCCCATGGAGAGATCCGAAAGAATTGTGAAGATCAATGTCAGGCTTCACAACCACAATAGGATGGTCGTTCTCAAATTGCACGAAGTTTGTTTTAG